TTATTTAATATTAATAAAATAAAATTATTTAATATTAATAAAATAAAATTATTTAATATTAATAAAATAAAATTATTTAATATTAATAAAATAAAATTATTCAATATTATTAAAATAAAATTATTCAATATTATTAAAATAAAATTATTTAATATTAATAAAATAAAATTATTTAATATTAATAAAATAAAATTATTTAATATTAAATAAAATAAAATAATTTAAATATTAATAAAATAATATTATATCAATCAAAATCAAAATTCATATTTCTCACCCATGACGAATAGCCAATTTGATAAATCCTAATCTCCTCTTCAAAACTAAATTGTAAACACCAGGACGCGCATTTAAACTTTCACCCGCGCCACCAATTACAATTAAAATGGAATGACCCGGGCCTTTTTTTAAAATATTTTCGCAAGACTGACGGGATACGGATGCCAAGCCTTGGGCCATTAAATATTCTCGATAAAGGGGAATATTAAAATTTGACGCGAGAGTTAGTAAGCGACACGTAATTCCAGGAAATTTTTTTGAAAAATCATTAGCTTCGGTGGCAAAATTTGTCCAAGCACCAACAGATATTACACCATGTGGATGATAACCTAATAATGAAGGAAAAAAAAAGGTAAATATAAATGAAGAATTTATAATTATAATGATGATTCACTCACCAAATATATAATTTTTTGATGGATCTAGATCGACTTCCTATTAATTTGATAAAAGAAAATCAATGATAATCCGGAAGAAATTTTCGGACGTACAAATTTGAAGAAAAATTCAATCATTACCTTAATTAATTTTATTGGATAATAATCAGCATACCATTTCCAAAAGATAGCATTCCTAGCAAAAGAAAACCTTCGACCACCATTTTCTGGTGCGATATCAAATAATGCAAATAGTGAATATGCGATGATCCAAGGCCAAAAGAAAATTGTAGTACACAGTATAAAAAAAATGCACAAAGTTGCGGGCAAAGAGATAATCCATAAAATAACGGCCGCCATTTGACGTCGTCTTATAAAAGGCACGTTTAATGGTGCTAGATGTATCATGTTTAATAAATCAAAGTTTTAATAAATAATTTAAAATGTAGAGTTGCGGAGAAAAACGCGGAATTACGTTACAGAATTAAGTGAAATCCGCATTTTGAATAGGAAGACATTTTATGCTGCCTAATGGTTTGACAAACCATAAATGTCTATTTATCAAATGTTGGTCCTAGCACGTGATATTGACACACAATTACTGCGCATTTAATTCTCACGCCGATTTGTTGGTGATAATGATAAAGATCTTATTCTCATGTGAAAAAAACCCCTTTTACTTTCCAAGCTTAATGCTTAAAAGCAAACATCAACTAAAGGCGAAGGCTTTAATAAATTTAACGTATTTGAAATGACTAGGTTTATAGGAAATGAAAGGACTTTCAAATCATACTTCATTATTGACAAAAAAAGCATGGTCAGATATCGAATTAAGATAGGGTTTAGGCAAAACCCTTCTTTTTGACTTGCAACATTGCTACGTAATAGGGATTTCTACTTAATTAACTCAGATTTATTAAAATTGCGTTCAAAAATAATATATTATATAGTATATATAAATATTAATCCGATTCAGGGATTAATCTTATTTGTGTAAATTAATAATTTTTCAAGTTGAAACTAGCTTTGACCACATTTAGTAAAGAATTTACATGATTTCAAAAGCATTAAAGTTCATAGACGTTAAAAGTAGCAAAGTGGCGCAAACGTTTTGGTGATCCTGTGTAGAGGTGGGATCCGTCATGGCTATTCAATAAATATTTATCGTTAATGGGTTTTATTATCCATGAATAATATTGAATGAAATACCCAGATTTTACATGGATGCTCATATGTTCCGAATTTTGTGTAATGAATGTTTTTAATTGAATACTCATTTTTAACCGGGGATATTCACGGATCTCATCTCTAATCCTGGGCTTATTGCCTAATTAGATTGTAAGATAAAAAAAACCCCAACCTAAATTTATCATGAAAACTAGAATTTAGTTATTATTAAGTAAAAAAGGCTTTTAGCACAAAAATTAACATGAGCACCAACGTTTAGGTAAACCGATTTAAAAGATTAGGTTAACGTTGTGGATCAATCACGGATCAGCAATTTTTTTGCGCCATGACTTTTATATCCAATTATTTCAAGTTTGGTGATGTAACAGTATTGCTGGTATTTACTGGTAAATACCGGTAGATATCGTTAGGTCAATAATATGCGAAGTAGCTACCGATAAGCTTCACTATTAGATACTAATCATATATCTAGTATCTACTGGTAGCTGCCAACCAGTGTTGCCATCGTACTTATCATGTGGCATTAAGGTGGGTGTTAGATCGATAGCCGGCTTTACATAATCATTTGCCAATTGACTAGAGCTTTTGAACCCAAAATAAAACTTCGAATCGTAAATCAATTAATTTTTTCACTTATATTGACTATTAACCAATAGTGAATCATAGACTTGGGGTAACGTAACACAATCAGGAAATTCAAAAAAACGTCCGCTTTGTTTTTTCTAATACTTCTAACTCTAATCGCTAACCCTAACATAAATGAAGTTAAAAAATTTTTGATTATCACGTGTGCATGAAATTTTTTGTTGGCGACTTTCAAGAAGCTGTTTACGAGACCAATGGTCGACCATCAGTAACATCTGCAACACTGCGTCCAAGTAAATCTTAACAATATAACCAAACCCCAGGCTCAATTTAAAATTTGAACTTTTGGTCTTAAAAGTGTCAGAAATAAGCGAAACCCTGTAAATACTATCTGGGGTTCTAAATTTGGATTGCAACCCTAGTTGAAAATATCTTTGTGGTGTCTCTATCTTTCTCTCTCTCTATCTACTCCGTGCTCGTTGTCCGTACCTGTCTCTTCTTATTCTTGTCTCTCTAAGTTCATTTCCTTTTTCTGGTAAAAGATAAAATTTCAACAACAATCATATCAAAATACTTTTTTTTTTTTCTGAAATTAGATTACAGAGATCTCTTTTATTATAAAATTTATGAAGCTTTTTTATAAAATTAAGACAACCCTTCTCCCCCTCTTATGCTTTCTCCGTCGAACCCCATCGTTCTCCCTCTTATGTCGCCTCCGTCGAACCCCAATTTTGTAATAATTATAGAAAATTATTACAAAAATGAAATGCTAAAAAAAATCGAAGAATAGCAAACAATATATATTTTTTAATTATGATACATAATTTGTATCATTTTCAAGATCTTTTTTCTTTAAAAAAAAAAATTCATGTCTTCTTTCTAATGCTGTATTTCATATTCTTTAAATTATTTCAACCTATCTTTGTGGTGTCTCTATCTTTCTTTCTTTCTATCTATCTACTCCGTGCTCGTTATTCGTACCTTTCTCTTCTTATTTTTGTCTCTCTAAGTTCGTTTCCTTTTTCTGGTAAAAGATAAAATTTCAACAACAATCATATCAAAATATTTCTGAAATTAGATTACAGAGATCTCTTTTATGAAATAATTAATCAAAGTTTTTCTTCAATTCGATTTACAAGTCAATATTTTGGTTCAACTAATATAAGCTTTTTTATAAAATTAATAAGAATAGCAAACAATATATATTTTTTAATTATGATACATAATTTGTATCATTTTCAAGATCTTTTTTCTTTAAAAAAAAAATCCATGTCTTCTTTCTAATGCTGTATTTCATATTCTTTAAATTATTTCAAATTGTAATTATTTTTTATATTAGTTAATACGTCCAAGAACGTTATAATAGTATGAAGGATGTACATACTTAAGTTTTCTAATTTCTTGTGAAAGTCATTAGAAATAAATTACAAAAAAAAATTTTTTTATTTTTATTATTTAAAGATTTTTGCCAAAGTTAAAAGAATTCAAACGCACAATAAATCACCGAATGATCGCTTCTCAATATATTAAGTAAAATAAATTAATTTTTCCTATTTACAGCTCAAAATCTTTAATTTTTCTACTCGAAACCAAAATAAAATTTTTATTAATTTTAGATATAATAAAAGATTTTTCACTTAACCGTTCATTCAAAATTAATAGTCTTATTTCTAATTTATTAAATATTTTACACTTCATCTTCCACTGCCAAGCGTCTATATCCTCTAGGCATAGTAGGTCCAGTTTTCAAAGCTGTAATAAACGTGTTAATTAATCCACTTTCTCTTTTCTCCTTTCTTACTCCTCCCTTTCCATCATCAACCCAGGTTGGCTTAGTCCACCATCTGAGCATTAAACTAGAACATACCACACTAACACTTGAACAAGCCATGGCGAAACCTGCCATCATAGGATGTAAATGATATCCCCATGGTAGAAATAGTCCCATGGCAAATGGAATTCCCAATAAATTATATAAACATGCCCATAGAAAATTTAACCGTATCCTTTTAAATATAGTTCGTGATAAATCTATAGACGCAACTACATCAGTTATGTCTGGTCGCATAAGTACTACATCTGCTGCTTCGATTGCTATATCGGTTCCGGAACACAATGCAATTCCTAAATTTGCTGCTGCTAATGCTGGTGAATCGTTAATTCCATCACCAACCATTGCCACAATATTTCCTCGACCTTCATGTTGTATTTTTTGTATTATTTGAGTTTTACCTTTTGGTGAAACTCCTGCATAAATTTTGTTTTCGTCTATTCCACATTGTGAAGCTATAGTTTGGGCAGTTAACAACTGATCACCAGTTACCATTAAAACGTCTATGCCCATTCGTTTTAATGCACCAACGGCAATTTTAGACTCTGGTTTAATTATATCTGAAAGAAATATTAGTCCTACTAATTCTTTATCTATGCTTACTAGAACAGTCGTATGTCCAAGTCGTTCTTGCGTTTCCTTAAGTGTGATAATTGATTCTGGAAGTATGGTTTTATGGTGTTGTGTCAAGAACTTTTCATTTCCTATCAATACATCATAAGTTTTTGTAGTTGAACGGTTTGTTTTTTTGAGACTAACTGTACATTTAATACCAAGTCCTGAATGACTTTCAAAATTTGAAACATCTGCATTATATGTTTCAATACATAAAAGTCTTTTTCCATAATTAGTGATAGAACGACCAAGAGGATGTTCGCTTGACGATTCAGCTGCTCCAACAATTTCAAAAAATATTTCTTTTGTTAATTCTGAATTTTTAGTCGTTAATTCATAATGTACAACATCTAATTGACCTTTTGTCAAAGTTCCGGTTTTATCAAATACAACTTTTGTGATTTTATGGCTGGTTTCAAGTGCCCCTCCACTTTTAATTAATATTCCGTTCTGTGCACCTACTCCTGTACCAACCATTACGGCTGTAGGTGTACTAAGACCTAGAGCACAAGGACATGCTACCACGATAACAGAAATACATAATTTGAGACAAACCATGAAATAACTGTCATTATTTAAAAATATATCGGGAAGTGGATGCATTATTCTACTTAAAATCATCCATCCGACGAATGTTAATCCTCCTAACCCGATAACAACTGGTACAAAATATCCGGCAACTGTATCTGCAAATTCTTGGATTGGTGCTTTCGAAGTTTGTGCTTCTTCTACTAATTTTACTATTTGAGATAATGCAGTATCACTTCCTGCACGAGTAACCTCCATATCAAAAGTACCTAATTCATTAACAGTTCCACCGATTACTAAATCACCTGGTCGTTTAGTTACTGGGTCAGCTTCACCAGTAACCATCGATTCATCTACGGTTGATTGACCAGAAATAACGGTACCATCGGCAGGAATTTTATCACCTAAAGATATTATTATATTTCAGATTAATATTCAATATATATTCAATATATATTCAATATAAAGATTTAATAAATGATCAAAATTATCAATTATGTTACCTGGTACGATTTTAACCATATCACCCACTTGTACTAATTCTGTGGGAATCTTTTTTTCTTCTATGATATCACCAGTTTTAGGATCTTTGATATAAATGTTTGTTATAGCAGGTGTAAGTGACATGAGTTTTGATAAAGCAACAGAGGTTTTTCCTTTG